ACAAGATTTTTTCAACTAAAAGTTCATGTCTTGCTCGTTGTTCTGGTGTCATATTCGAGGTGTCCTTCGTCAAAATTTCATATTCTTTGGTAACCGTATGCCTCATGTACGCCTGATTGTAAAATTCTTGTTACTCTAATTTTTTGGCTTCCAAATCCATCATTTTTTGTCGAAGTTCAACAAGTTCATCGTCATCATCCCGTGCCTTGCACTTTTTTTTTGACTTCCTCTTTCCTTTCTTGGCTGCTTTTTGGCCTATTGGGCGAACCTCCTCTTTGTCTCATTGATTTCAACATTTCGATCAGCATTTGATGATGAAGTGTATGATCCGGATTCGTTGATTCTTGATCTCTTTGATGACTCTTCAACGGTAGAAACAGCTGCCCATTTTGGATCATCTTTCACAATTTTCCACACATGCTCATGCACAACATATTTTTTCTGAATTTGGTAATATACCTCATGAGCTGCATCCCTTACAGAATCATCACTCCACCCACTACGGTGTTCATTCCATAGTCTATTGTAGTGTTGGTTAAATTCATTGACATACTTTGAAAACCAAAACCAATGAGACTTTAACTTACCTTGTTCTCTTTGTGATACAGATCCTCGGTTTGCATTGTAGTAGGTAGTAATCTTCTTCCAAAATTCCTTCATATCTTGGTAGTTTCCTGTAACGCTACAGTTAGAAACCGTGAACCATGCACGACGCAGAAGTATGTCTTCCTCCTTGCTCCAACCTTGATAATTTGAAGTATTTTTTTTTTCTGGTGCTTGTGATAAAGAAATATTATCCAAACCAAATTGAGTTGAAAATTGTGGAAAATAATCTTGGGGAGTTGATGCCCTTGGCGTTACATTTGGAGAGTCATCGTCTCGAACGAGACCTCTTGTTGAAACCGGTGTAGGTAGACTTCCGGAAGATGAACCCGTATTTATAAATCCCATTGGAAAATTATTTTCAATCATTTGAGAAAAATAACCGAGCGGTTGATATATCACGAATGGATTTGGGACATAAGGTGGCAAATTTGGGGTACCCAAATTTTGAGGATATCCAAAATTTTGAGGATATCCAAAATTTTGCATATTAGGATGAAAATTTTGGGGGCGGGGGAATTTGAAAAATTGTGAGACAGATTTGCATTGTTTGTAGGATTATTTTTGTTATTTTTTCGGCTCATGGTAGTAGAAAATAGAAGAAAAAAATTGAATAGTTGATGTGTAGTAAAGAAAGAACTATAAGTATAGAAGCGAGGAAAAATAGAGAAAGTAGTGTGTTATGAAAATCAATATTGGGGGTATTTATAGGCAAAATCTTAAATTATTCTCTTAAAAAACTTATCAAATTATAGTGCAAACATTTAGAAACGGCTAATTTTTTCAACATTCAAAAAATTTCTATGGCTACGAATTTGACAACCAAAATGAAGAAATATTTTTTTGGAGATGCTGTGAAGAAGACAAAAAAGAGGGCTTATAACGGTCACCAAAACAGAATTAACAAAAAAAAGAAGAAAGAAAACGAAATGGCGCAAAAAAGAAAAATAAAAGAGAAAAGGAATGATGGCTGACCATTTATGCCCCCGAGAAAGAAAAAAAAAATAAATAAAGGAATGGGACTGGGCTGAGCGGCTCACCACGGGCCCGTTTCATGCCCCACTTTTGTCAGATTGAATAGTATCGAAATTTTGCTACTGCTGACAAGATTAAATACTCTCTAATGGATGTATTCTTTTTTTTATACTGACATTACACAACGTTTACACCATTGTTGTGAATGCTCTTAATTCTTTTTAATTGAATTAGTACTAAATTCAAAAAAAAAAAAAAAGAACAAGGAAAAGAAAAATCATAATCAAAAGCTGGTACGTCTTCCAAACCCCACAACTCTCTCCGTCAAATTTATCCATCCAAAGTCACCGTCGGCCTGAGATTCTGACCAGCCCCGTTTGATTAGAGTTTCTACTCTTCATCAATTCGGCGAGAGTGGTAAGGCACACAGTCAACGAAATAAGTTCGATTTCCTCCTTCGGCTCTCAATATTCTCATCCGAAATTTCAAAATTCATAATCTAATTATGCAAGTTTGGGTTTTAACTGATTAATTTTGTTTAAATTTTGCAAGCTTGTAATGATTGAATTGTATTGTTATGGCTACCAGAAGAGAAGAGAGTAGCCGTTTTGTAGGATATAATTGATTACTTTATCATTTTTTTGACAAACTTTTACAAAACTGGTTTGTGATTTTCGTTGGCCGTAGAAAGAGGTAGAGCAATGATGTAGAACAATAGAGCAAAACACACGCATATTGAGTTCTGGAAAATGCCTAATCTTTATAATTTTTTCATTGGCTTTTACACTTGTAGCATTTTTTGTCGTCACTTCTTAGGCAATGATACCTTTTTTTTCCAATTTTTGTTTGCACCTTATGAGAATTATTTCATACTTTTATTGCAGGAGAAATCGCATACATGGAACAAGACTTCTTAGGTAATGATACCTTTTTTTCCAATTTTTGTTTGCACCTTATGAGAATTATTTCATACTTTTATTGCAGGAGAAATCGCATACATGGAACAAGGTGAAAATAATATTAGTGAAGCTGAATGTCTTAATGAGACTGGTATGAATGAAGATCCTTCAAGTTCAATGAGACTGGTATGAATGAAGCTGAATGCCTAAAGTTGGAATGTCTTTTACAAGTGAAGAAGAAGTTCATCATTTCCACAACATATATGCACAAAGTATTGGTTTTGACATATGCAAATTAAGGGGAAAAAACGGGGATGATGGGAAGCAAAAGTATTTTTCAATCAGATGTGCCAAAAGTCGTATTGCAGTGTCTCGAGCAAAAAATGTATTATTTCCTCGTCCTTCTACAAAAACTAATTGCAAAGTTAAGATAAATGTTGTTCAGTAAAATGATGGGAGTTTTGTAATTATTCAAGTTTACCTTGAGCATAATCATACCTTAAGTCCTGGAAAGTCATGCCATTTCAAATGTAATAAAGTTTTGGGTTCTTTTGCAAAGAAAAGATTAGAGTTGAATGATGAAGCTGGAATACCTGTGTGCAAAACTTTTGATTCGCTTGTTGTGGAATATGGTGGTGATGAGAATTTGCCATCTGATGAGAGAAAGTGTAGGAATTTTGTGTCAGAGACTAGAAGGTTAAGACTAAGGGTTGGAGATGTTGAAGCTTTGACCAATTACTTTTGCAACATGCAAAGCCGAAACTCTGATTTTTTTCATTTGATTGATTTCGCTGAAAATTCTCGCATAAGAAATTTTTTTTGGTTAGATGGTAGATGTAGAGCTACATATGATTATTTTTCTGATGTGATCACTTTTGATACTACATATTTGACTAATTGTTATAATATGCCTTTTGCTCCATTTGTCGGAGTAAATCATCATGGTCAATCTATCTTGCTTGGATGTGGATCAAAATGAGCTCATTTGCCTCTTGAATTTTGGGGTCACTGTATCTTGACTGCTGGGTACTTGATTAACCGTCTACCTACTCTTGTTTTACGTGGAAAAACCCCTTATGAAATGTTGTTTGGCAAACCGCCTTCACTTGACCATTTACAAGTATTTGGATGTTTGTGTTATGTGCATAATCAGGATCGGAAAGGTGATAAGTTTGCTAGTCGTAGTGGGATATCCATTTGGTAAGAAAGGTTGGCAGGTCTATGGTCTTGATCTGGGGGTTTTCTTGGTTTCTCGTGATGTTGTTTTTTGCGAGTCAAAATTTTCCTATTTGGAATTTGAGTCTGCTGGTGCTCCTTCTGAGTCCATTCACGTTCCCGTATGGTCCCCTCCTCTTGTTGAGGATGATGAGGTTTCTATTGATCACCCATTTGGGTCCCAGTCTGAGCCTCCCATTATGGATACTACTAGTTCGAACTCCTCTCCTGTTGCTGAGGTATCCCCTACTAAGGTGAGTTCTGATTGTATTTCAGATCCTGTTGAGGAATTGGGATGTAGCCATGGCACCAAGTTTCCTTCTACTCGTCTCCGTGTTTCTCAGGCATACTATCTGTCCCTCAAGCCCCCCTACTGATTCCTCCACTTCACCATCTTGCTCAAGTACGCCTTATCCTATAGCACATTATGTGAATTATGATTCTTTCTCACCGACCCATAAGTTGTTTTTGGCAGACGTTTTTTCTACAGCTGAACCCCAAACATTAGCTGAAGCCATCAAAGATAGTCGCTGGCGATCTGCTATGCAACATGAAATCCAAGCTTTGGAGAAGAATGGTACTTCGGAGTTACCTCCTCTTCACCTGAACAATGCCTCCCCACCACCACTGCCCACCAAGAATCATCACTACTTATAATGACACACATCTTCACCACCACTGCAAAAATCTCCTTTATTTTAAATTCAATCAGATCCATGGATCAAACATTAAACCATTAGTTCCTTCCAGTTACTATTAACGAACCCAAATAAACAGATTGAAAAAGGAGATTTTAGATCTGAAATCACTAAAAATAATAGACGGTAAAAATTTCTACTGCCGGTACTAGCATTGATCAAATCACCCAATTCCAAGTCGAAATTTCATATATGTGGTCTTTCATATTAATCTATCATGAAATTTATGCAGCCAAAGATAAACGAAAAAAAGGGAGAAAGTGAAAGAAAAGAGAAGAAGTTGCATAAGGAAATGAAGGACTGATAGGAGAGAGAGAGAGAGGGGAAAGGAAGAAGAAAAGAAGACGTAGGACGTTGTAAAAGGGGAGAGAAGACGGATAGAAGAGAGAGGCAAGGAGGAAGAAGGAGAAAATATTATAATAATGTTTTTCTTTGGAAAAAAAAAAAAAGATGAAAGGATTCAAATTGAATCATGGGGTAAAGGCAAGGATTCAGTCTTTCGGATTCAGCCATTCCCGGGATTCGTGAATACCATCAACCAAACATTTCATTCAATTTCGAATCCGAATCCCGAATCCGATTCCCAGCAAACAAACGGCTCCGATACTTTCCCAGTCTCCCCCAATTCCTTTAATCTCTGAACTTCTACTTTACAAATTCGTCTCTGAATTCACTCTCCCTCAGCCTCATATTTCATTTCTTGTTGATTTCTTCTCGTCCTGTTGGTGACAATTGAAAGCCCTTTCAGATTTCCGGCACCGTTCCTCCTCACCTTCACACAATCATCGTCATCTCCGATGAATGAAAAACAATGACTCCGACGAACGGCAGCAAGAGGTTATTGGCTATATGTTACTTTAACTAATTACTTTCGCTTTTTCTTTCCCCCTTCTATCTGATTCTTACATTTCCATGCTTGATTATTTCTGCAATTTTTTTTGTTCTCTTAATCAAAGGGCGAGGTTGGGCACAGATTCATCAATGTCGACGTTGCCGGAGGATTTGCTTGTGGAAATTTTGTCTAGGCTTCCGGCAAAGCAACTAGGACGGTGCAAATGTGTGTGTAAGTCTTGGCAATCCATAATCGGAAGTAACCCATTTCGTAAGGCTTACCGGAGTCGTCATCAACAGTCTAAGTTGATTTTCTACCGGAAGGAAAACGATTGGACAGGTTTACGCCTCAGGTTCTTTTCTTCCACTCTTAATCGACTTAAGGAGTCCACTGAAGATTTTAGCTACTTAAGCTTGACCGCCGGTCATCGGCCTGACGGAATGACCCAAATAGTTGATGGTCTTTTATGTTGTTGTGACTTGAGTCTACGATTAACTATCTACAATGTTTGTACTGGGCAAAGTATGAGACTTCCTCAGCCTTCCCCTTGTAGTACTGGTTTAAGCTGTTCTTTTTATCTTGGATTTGACCCATCAAGCCAGGTGTACAAATTACAGAGATTGATTTATTGTACTGTTTGGGGCATTCCTTCCTCAAGCAATCAGTCACTGCAAGCTGCTGAGATAATGACTTTGAGACCGTCTAGTTCATTGTCCACATGGAGACAGTTGGATTATAATGCTTCTGGTATTGCTGATATTGTGGGTTCGACTGATGGTATCGTAGGATGTGAAGTTCAATTCGTGTCTGGTTGCGGGTATCTCTGGTGGATGTCACAGCGTACATCCTTGTATTCATTTGATCTCAACAAGGAAAAGTTTTGAAAGGTTAATATCCCGAAGGAAATAAGAGATGAACCAATAGTAAAGTTTCTTTTGTCTATGGGGTGGCCAGCAATGTGGGTTCTTCGTAAGGAACACGGTCAGAGATGTTTCATTCTGTTTGTGTTTGAAAGTGATGAGAATAATGTATGGAACAAGATCCGTTTTGATGGCGGGAAGGACTTGGTGAATTGCCTCGTTACATTGTTGCAACTGGAAACCTCTCTACGGGTGAGATTTTGTTCATGACTTTTGGCCGAAAACAGGACAACGGCAAGAATGTTTTTTCTTTTAATCATCACACCAGGAAGTTTCATGGATTTATGGTCGGGAAGCTCCCTAACGAGCCTCTTAAATTTGAACCCGAACCTAAGGGATGTAGCAAAGCTAAGATTTCTTGTTTACATGATCACAGTTATCTATATCTATCACTGGATGATGTCCTCAGGGGCGGAGGTTGCGCTTAGGTAATCTTGTGATTAAAGACTTTACACACATTGTCGGCTCTCTTTCATACTAATTCACATTTAAGCAAAACTTTATCAGTTTCATCTTTCATTCACAGATTTTGGGCTGCCCTATATCTAGTTAAAGCAGCACTAGCACTGGTCACTGCTACCCTTCACTATCATTGAAGCACGATCACTTAGAATATTGGCTACTCTTAGGTATTTGATCCTGATTACCTTCAGAATATACATTTTGGTACTGCCCTTTTGATTTAGTTTGTGGTAGACATCCTCAGAAAGCATGAAAGCTCTTGTAATGACTGTTCGATCATCTGGACTATCTTATACTCGGTTGCCATTATTCATTAAGGCTCAAAACATGGTCTAGTATATATTTTGTACTTGGCTGCTCTTCTGAATTTATAAGATGGATATTATATTGTTCTCTTTAGCAATCTTTGTATGTTTCTCCATTATTTTTTGTGGTCATCACAATATGATGTTCATGATTTTGCTGTTTTCTTGTTCTGAATTTAGTTGTGATTTAAGAGTTTAGATCTTCTCCAGATCAATGTGATACTGAACTCCTTGAAGTCTGGTTATGATATTGAATCTGCCTTAGTCGTTGATGGCTGAGTTTGGCTTAGTCGTTTCATCTGCCTTATGTGGTAGGTTAGAGCCCTCGTCAACCAAACCTCCTGTCACACTCCCTGCCTTTCCCGCATGTAAGTTCCTGAATATTTTGACTTGAGCCAATGGGGATAGGCACAGGGATCTTCTCGAAATGAAATGAGTGCTACTTTAAGCATTTGGAGTTTTTATTGCACTTCCTGCTGAGTCGTACAATGATATAAACAGAAAGTACCATGATATTGTTGGTGGAGATAAATATTAATACTTGACTGGACAAGAATCATTTGCAAGCCAAGATTTCAGATTCCCTAAGAAGACTAAGAAGAAAAGAGATTTCAGTTGTTAAAAGAGGTCCTGTAGTATTTCTATCTTCATATCCTGCAACTTTTAGGTCCCAAAGCCGTGGTTTCATCGCATTTAAATAATTACATCTGCATCAAATTAAAGAAGCATACAGCTATTACCTGTCTATCATTTAAATTTACCAAATATGTATAGAAAGAAGACTAAAATGTCCAAATGGTCCCTTACATTTGGGCCTACTTGAATTTACGTCTCTAACATTAACATTTCAATATCGTAGTCCCAAACATTATGTTTTCGCACTGTTTTGGTCACATTTCACTGTTTCCGACCGTTGACATGCCGAAATCATGGGCATTTTCGTCTTTTAATTTAATTTCAATTTCTATTAAAATTTAAATCATTAAAAATATTTTCAAATTCAGATTTCATTATTTAATTGTTCAAATATTATTTATTAATTAAAAATATCATTATAAAATTTTAAAATTTACATTATTTTCAAAATTAAAATTTTCATTTATCATTTACTTTAAGTCAAAGTAAATAGTAATTATGTTGTACTTTAACCTTGACCCCACTGTAATTTAAAAAATTTACTGAGTTATATAGTAAATAATTTAAAATTCAATTTCTTTAAAAAAAATGAAAAAGCAAAACCATTTTTTTTACTCTGACCGCTAAAGTAAACCTTAAATGGTAATTATGTTGTAATTTTAACCTTGGACCCACTATAACTTAAAAAATTTACCGAGTTATAGTAAATAATTCAAAATTCAATTTTTTTTAAAAAAAAAGAAAAAGCAAAACCAAGATTTTTAAGTTACAGTGGGTCCCAGGTTAAAAGTGCAACATAATTACCATTTAGGGTTTACTATAGCAGTCAGAGTAAAAAAAATCTTGGTTTTTCTTTTTTTTTAAATAAATTGAATTTTGAATTATTTACTGTAATTCGGTAAATTTTTTAAGTTATAGCGAGCTCAAGGTTAAAAGTGTATTATAATTATCATTTAGTGTTTACTGTAACGGTCAAAGTAAAAAAAGAAATTTTGGTTTTGCTTTTTTTTTTTTTAAATTGAATTTTGAATTATTTACTGCAAGTTGGTAAATTTTTTAAATTACAGTGGGCCCGAGGTTAAAAGTGCAGCATAATTACCATTTAGGGTTTATTGTAGCGATCGAGTAAAAAAAACTTAGTTTTGCTTTTTTTATTAAAAAAATAATTGAATTTGAATTATTTACTGTAACTTGATAAATTTTGTAAGTTACGGTGGGCTCAAAGTTAAAAGTCAACATAATTACCATTTACTGTGTACTTAAACTAGATAGTAAATGAAAAAAGTAATTTTAAAAATAATGATAAATTTTAAATTGTATAATGATATTTTTAATTAATAAATAATATTTTAACAATTAAATAATGAAATTTTAATTTTAAAATATTTTTAATGATTTAAATTTTAATAAAAATTCAAATTAAATTAAAAGACAAAAATATCCCTGATTTCGGCATGTCAACGGCCGGAAACAGTGAAATGTGACAAAAAAAGTGTGAAAATATAATGTTTGGGACTACAACATTGAAATGTTAATGTTAGGGACGTAAATTCAAGTAGACCCAAATGTAAGGGAACATTTGAACATTTTAGTCTAGAAAGAACAGTTATGAAAGATTGGGTGTACTTAAGAAGGGAATTTAAAGCTTTCTCATTTGTTCTTACTAGTACATTGTTGTTTCTTGATTTCTTCCTTGTACATTGTAATTCTGATTCTGAAAGAAGAGTCATTTCAAATTACTGTGCTAGCAGGCTGCTTAAACATGGTTTTTGCTGCGTTCAAGAAACGGAAAAAACCTGTCTTTGTTTGCTTATGTCCTTTGTCTAATTAAGCAGAACTTTTTAGGTGGATGACTTTGTCCAGAGTGTGATTGTTATAAGTGGCTGCTTGCTCGAACTGTGTTGATGATTGTAGCTCACTATTTTTCACCTCTTATACTGCTCAAGTCCTACAAAGTATTCCGTGGATGGAGCATTTGCAGCTTGTATTTTGATGAATGAAAAAGAAATAGATGACTACATTTTTCTCAATGTAGTTAAAGACTTAAAAGTAGCAGTATCCAGCTTAATCATTCAAAAACTGTAAACCTATGTTACCCGGACTCGGGTACGAGTGTCGGATACGACACGGGATCTAAGTGTCGGACTTGTAAACTTTGCAAAATTAGGATACGAGGGTACGAATTAAGACACGAGTACGGGTACGGGGATCCTTCTTAAAATTAATTCAAATATTGATAATTAGAGTACCCAGTTATAAATAATTTGGAGTTGGATGAAAAATTAGGAAGGTGATGATTATTATCATCCAAAATTCATATACTTTCACAATTAATCTAAGAAATAAGGGAGTTAAGTTTTAATTAAATGAAAGTTTAAGCTCTTATAATTAATAATTTCATATATGGGATTTGGACTGAGAGAAAAAGATAGCATGGTTTTATGAAATATAAAAAAAGAGCACATTGGATCAAGTTGGATTCATAGGTCAGTGGGTTTTTCTTTAACTTTGAAAAGAAAGATCCCATTTTTTTGAAAAAAGAAGCCCAGTCCGTCGAAGTTTTCTGCCTTCTTCGTCAACTTCCAGACCGGCGGCGGAACAATTTTACAGAGGTGGTCGGTCAAATTTTTGGGACTTACCTTCCCCAAAAAGCGAAAAAAAAAAAATCCTCCCATCTGGTCAACGCGTCTTGACCGACGAAATCAGATCCTGTACGGATCTCACACCCGTATCTGTGTCATGTCGTGTCGACACGGGTATTCTACCCCAAAGGGCCGAGTCCGGGTAACATAGCTGTAAACAAGTCATCCTCGTCAATGTTTCCAAAGCAGTGATCTCCCATCAGCCTGCAAATTCCTTGCAAATTCTTATTTCAGCTGATAAAAATCTCACCATTTAGGACATCATCGACCAGAATTTTATCTCTCAAAAGATACCTACTCCGTTCAAATTGGAAGTATTCCCAATTTAAGTTTTCTAGTCGATGTAGCTTTTAGAGAAAGTTAACATCATAGAACTCAAATCCTCTATTTCAACTATTAACGGACTGAAAGACTGGGCAGGATGAATCTCATATCGGATCTATAGCGGGTAGTAAACTGGGCAGGATGAATAGTGCGTTTGGCACAACCGCACAAGCAATCTGGGAAAGATGTTTGGAATCAAGTAATTTCTCCCCCTTTAAGTTGTGATCTATGTAAAAGAATTTTCTTTTGGCACAAAGGTACCGTATCAAAATAGAGGACATCCAAGGTTTTAATTTCCAAAAGTTATAAAACTTCGATGCTGTGAAGGTAAACTAAAACTAACTCACTCATGAGATGATCCACGGTAGACTCTTTGACTCATAAAAATGACTGTATGAAGATGTGTACGGTATGTGGCCTCAATTAATTGTTACGAGATTTTTTGTGATAGGTTAGAAATCTTGATTGAAACAAGAACAAGTGAACTAGCTGCTAGCTTGAACTGAATATGCTGATAATTAATAAAATTCACAAGAAGAATGAACCTCTCGTCCTAATTATAAGCCATAAATTTAATTTGTGCTTTATTATTAGGAGTATATTACAACAGTTTGAACAAAAAAAAAAAAAAAAAAAACAACGGATGGGTATAAACTAATCGACCTAGCTAGATGCCAGCTCGATCTGAATCTAGGACATTTATATGGATAGGAATTATTTCTTGAAAATTATAGGACAAGATAACAACACAAAGTCGTACTTGGTAACGTGAAATCGCAACAAGAAAACAGTTGAAATCCACAATTTTATAAAACATGAGTAAAAAAGAAGGGGAAAAAAATATAGAGGGAAAAACATGTAATCCCTCGGTCTCAAAATAAATAATTTACATAATAATTATTTTAGGACAGAGGAAACAGTATTAAGTTGCGATATAAAAAAAGTAATGACAGAGCCTTCCATAGCAGAATATCGGTACATTCGTTGGTATATTCACAAGTTGCATTCGAATCGCAACAAGGACTATCTTATCTGAGCCATGCACACAGTGGGTTTTTTTTTACCCAGTTTTTGTGCAGTTTTCACTATCCTTCGATACCACAGCATCTGCATGCACCAAAACTAATTCAGGCATTTGCTAAAAGAAACATTGCTGATCCATTTTGAAATAATTGTCCAGTTGTGTATTTTTACGCACACACATAATTGAATGCCATCCGTTATCCGTAGGTTATGTGATATTGGACTGGAACGATCAAATTGAAGAGACAATTAACATAAGAGTCAAAAGAGAGACTTGATTAACGTTTTTCTTCCGAATCTTGAAATAATAAGAAACGACATTATCACGAAGAAACCTGATGATGTGGCTGAGGATGACGAGAACTTGATTCCCACCATGGCTTGAGTTGCGCAATAAGATTTGATGGAAGCCTTTTCCGCTAGTTTTCTCCATTTCTATGTATAGCAAGAAATGAAAG